TCCCGCGAAAGTAGTCTCGGTTGATTGCATACACGTTATAGGGCTGTCAATCAAGAGGGAACTTTTACTTTCGGCCATAACGTAAAACATCTATTTCTCCGCCAATATTAGGTTTTTTTCAATTTTGTTTTCAGAAATTAGAGATTACTCTTCGACCATTAGTTTGAACCAAAAATCCAAAGTTGAAGAAAATTGCCGATCTGAAGGTATACTGTAACCTTAAGTTTATGTTAGCTATTTTTTTCAGACCAGATTTTGAAAAGTAAAGGGCAGAATAATTATTTTGTTATGAAAAGTCTTTCATTTTCAAAAATTTCTATTATAATCTCAGCAGATACATTAAGCCACGACTGCAAAGGCTGAGATCTTCACGGAAATAAATCAATTACTCCCTTCGTTACAATCTCTTAGTGGCGCTATGCTTTCCAAGAAGGCCATAGCATACTCATTTTTAGTTTCTGATCATGATCAAGCTACCAAAAAATCAACTTCAAATATTGAGAGGGCAGACCACGATTTACCGTCCCAAGCAACTTTGTGCCCAGTGTATTGAATACTTTTTGTGAAACTCAACAAAATTGCAAAGGATACATGGTCTTGTTAGCGCTTTTGTCACCCAGAAATTTTCCACTTTTCAAAAGCCAATTTCTCCCTGAATATATTAAACAAGGAGCCATACATTTCACCAGTTAATAAGTTTCACAAGCCCTATAAGTGTTTGGAGTCAATTGGTATCTAGCATGATGTTCTCTTTGCACAAAGTCAATCGTATGAAAAATGTAAACAATTACGTCAACAGCGGTCAGTCTATAGTAATACATGTACATATTACAATTATAACAACAGCAGTTTAACAAAATGATAAACAGGGTTGGTCACAAACTTGTTTCCACTCTTATTCTCTTTTATAATCTGACGGAAGTTTTTTGACATGAACAACCTAGACGAAGTAATACAAGTCATCTCAATTGGCCTCATTGTTGCTGCTTTCCTCCTCCACACAAATCGATTCCTAAAAGCCATTGAGTTATGCAAGGAATGCTTGTTCATTCTCAAAGACAGAGCAGGCATAAAAGACGAGAAAATAAGCAAATCATTCTATATGAGGATATGTTTTATAATGTGGAAGGCTTATAGTGGTATCAGCGACAATACAAACGCCATGAAATATGCAGAGAAAATTCTCCAAATTTACCACGAAAGCGGTAAAAGACTTGAGGAATATAACTTAAGCGTAACACTTGGAGAGATCTATTTCGATCAACGTAAATACGAACAAACAAAACAAGTCACTGACAGAGCCCTCCTAATCAGTAAAGAAATTGGAGACAGAAACGGAGAAGCTTCCTGCTACCAAAACCTTGCAACCGTCTATACATCAGTTGACGAATACGAGAAGGCTAGAGAACATCTCGAGAAATCACTTGCGATCCACAAAGAAATTGGAGACAGAAATGGAGAAGCTAGCTGTTACAGAGACCTTGGAAACGTCTACATATCAGTTGACGAATATGAGAAGGCTAGAGAACATCTCGAGAAATTACTTGCGATCTACAAAGAAATTGGAGACAGAAATGGAGAAGCTACCTGTTACGAAAACCTCGGAACCGTCTATGGATCAGTTGGCGAATTTGAGAAGGCTAGAGAACATCTCGAGAAATCACTTCCGATCCACAAAGAAATTGGAGACAGAAATGGAGAAGCTACGTCTTACATAAACCTTGGAAATGTGTATCTATCAGTTGGCAAATATGAGAAAGCTAGAGAACATCTCGAGAAATCACTTGCGATCAGCAAAGAAACTGGAGACAGAAAAGGAGAAGCTACGTCTTACACAAACCTTGGAAGTGTGTATCAATCAGTTGGCAAATATGAAAAGGCTAAAGAACATCTCGAGAAATCACTTGCGGTCCACAAAGAAATTGGAGACAGAAATGGAGAAGCTGCCTGTTACGGAAGCCTTGGAAACATGCAAGGATGATAGCCATGAAGATTGGCGAATTGGAATGGAAAGTAAAGCTAACCAAGGACCCAAAATGAACCTTCCTCTCTGTTACAAACTTATTATCGCTCCAGTGGTGGGCTTTCTTGAGGGCCCTGAAATCTTGATTGTTCCTGATCGCGCTTTATACCAAATTCCATTTGCCGCCTTAACTGATAAAAGCGGAAAGTTCTTATCCGAGACTTTCAGGATCCGTGTTGTTCCTTCTTTAACAACTCTCAGTATCATTGATGAAAGTCCAGCAGACTATCACTGTCAGACTGGTGCATTGATAGTTGGAAATCCTGATGTTGGTGAAGTGCACTTCAAAGGAGAACTCACAACCATTTCGCCACTGCAATGTGCAGAAAACGAAGCGAGGATGGTAGCAAAAAAGCTGGCTGTCGAGCCTTTGTTAGGACAGCAAGCAACTAAGCAGGCAGTACTTCAAGCAATGAATTCAGTGGCTTTGATTCATATCGCCGCACACGGTGATG